ACCTCTTTCCTTTATAAATTACCCAGTCTCGAGTATTTCTTCACAGCAGCATGAGAATGGACTAATACACAGGAGGAAAATAGCAGTGCATTATTCTATATTTAATTTTATTATAAAAATTGGTAATTTTTTTAGATTATTGTATTGGTAGTGCAATATAACTTATATGTCAATTACAGTACCTTAGGGATACCCTCTTTCCTTCCTCTAGTGGACTATGACAATAGGATTTGAGTAAAGGAATATGCGAATACTTTGTAAAGCATTTTTTCAAACGTGGGTATTTTCACTGTCTTTGTGATTGTCCTTTTGACTCATGTCAGCTTCCTTTACATTCTACAAAAACATTGTACTCCCTTTCTAAATTAAGTTCTGTATAAAGTTTAGCCAAGTTCTCACAGGTAAGTACCTGGAACAATAACTACAGTTATTTTGGCATCCATAAGTAACAATAATAGTGACTAGCCTTAAACCACTGTATTATAAGGTAAGGAATGCTGCCTATATCTGAAGCCACATTTTAGCTTATTTGCTCCTTTTGTTTCACCACATTGCTTCTCTAATCGTGAATTTCTTTTTACAATTTCTGAGAGAAGTATTCCTGTGAGTGCTGCCCTGAATTGTATAATGTCAAGACTGTACTCCCTTCTGCCTTTCTCTTGCTCACATTTGGGGCATTTTATAATTTCAGTTTAATGGTAGAGTGGAAAGAAACTACAATTATTTTTACCAGCAGCTTTTCTCTATTTGATATCAAAGTCTATCAAGAGATGAATATAACTTTTATATAAAAATCTCTTCCTAATAAAAATCTGAGCTTTTAGCACTAAAAACAAATTACTTTATTAAAAGCTTTTCTTAAGGAGAAATTATGACATCATGGTCTTTTAGTTGTTAAACCAAATTTAAAAATACTTGAGAAATGTAATGTTGAAAGTGTTGAACTGTATTCTTGATTGTAGTTGTCTAAATCAAAGTGCTTTATATAGGTATATAAGATTCTTCTTCTTCTTCTTCCTCTTTTTTTTTTTTTTTTTTTTGGAGACAGAGTCTTGCTCGTCGCCTGGACTGGAGTGCAGTGGTGTGATCTCGGCTCACTGCAACCTCTGCCTCCCAGGCTCAAGCAATTCTTGTGCCGCAGCCTCCTGATTAGCTGGAATTGCAGGTGCTCGCCACCACGCTTGGCTAATTTTGGTATTTTTAGTACAGATGGGGTTCCTCACATTGGCCAGGCTGGTCTTGAACTCCTGACCTCAAGTGATCCTCCTGCTTCGGCCTCCCAAAGTGTTGGAATTACAGGCGTGAACCACCACGCCTGGCCAAGATTGTTATCAGTAGATGTTTCAGACAACTTATGATAAGAGTCTTATATATAACATGTATGAGGTATTAAAAAATACTTATTATTTATGATTCAAGGTAGAGTATTAAGTTTTGGAAACTGTAAAAGAAGCCGTGTTATAAAATAATTTTAGAGAAACTCATTTGGTCTATCCATATTCTTTTGCTTTTGTATATACCAGAAACTAATTGAGATTTTTGGTTCTGAACACCATCAATGACTATTTAGGGAATCTTTCAGTAGCTCTCGTTTGCTGACTACTATATAGGTTTCCTGTATTTCTTTTGAAAAATTGGTATTGAATGAGAGTCTGACCCTAAGGCATGAGAGCCAGGGGAGGGCAGGGTATTAGTAAGTTCTATTTCTGTCTCTTCATCTAACATAGTGATTGGAACAGGTTAAGTTATCCATTGATTATAGCTCCCTGCAACCACAGTAGATGTTAAATAGGGTTGCTCAGCGTCCTTTCTTATAAAGAAAAATGAGATACAGGCTTTGCTACTTTCTGACTTGGGCCTTTGCAAAATCCTTATCCAATCCTTTTTTTATATATATAAAATGAAAATAGTAATAGCTCCTAAGGATTATTTTGTATGTGCCAAATAAATAAAATAAACTAGGTATCATGCATGGCACTCAGTAAGTGCTCAGTGAATCTTAAGTGCTATGATTACTATTATTGATACTACTGCTGCTGCTTTTATTGCTGCTGCTGCTACTACTACTACTACGATGATGATGATGATTGTATTAGCATTTTTGGCATCATTTAATATTCTGAGATATTAAAATTTCCTGAGACATGAATTTTGAGAATCTGTTAAAAAATGCTTTAAAATGCATAAATAAAGTTTTAGATACCATTTCATAGGTGTAATGAACTCCTTAAAGTGTGCTACAGACCATAGGTTTAGAACTCCTTCTCAGAGGATAATGGATACCACTTCAAATGGACACAATTCAGGTGGCAAATATTGGAAAATAGCAACCAATCATACACAATTATATAAAGACAAAATGCAAATTAGCAAATTAATAGCTTCAAGTGTTATTCCGTTCTCATACTGCTGTAAAGAACTGGCTGAGACTGGGTAATTTATAAAGGAAAGACATTTAATTGATTCTCAGTTCCACATGGCTGGGGAGGGCTCAGGAAATTTACAATTATGGCAGAATGCGAAGGGGAAGCAAGTACCTTCTTCAGATGGTGGCAGGAGAGAGAATTGCCAGCGAATGAGGAAGTGCCATGCTTTAAAAACCATTAGATCTTGTGAAAACTCCCTCACTATCATGAGAACAGCATGAGGGAAACTGCTCCCATAATCCAGTCACTTCCCACCTGGTTCTTCCCTTAAAACCTTGAGATCATAACTCAACATGGGGTTTGGGTGGGGTCACAAAGCTAAACCATATCATAAGGGTTGATTTGGGACAAGGTATTTCTCAGGATAACATTCTCTAACCATTTGCAAATCATTTAATGTGCTTGTTAAATAGCAGAATTCTGGGCCATAGCTCAGGATGACTGAATCATAATTTCTTTGAGAGATTATGAGTCTTCTTGAATACCCTAAAGTTTAAAGTCAAGGATTTTAGAATGTTTAATACAACTATCATAGAAAGTGTATGATCTTCTTAACTATTCATACATAGTTAAAGAAGCTTCAAAAACAAAGGATGGAATTTATTTAACCGAAGTGTGGAAAGGGAAAAATAGGTGAAATTACGTTGGTAGGTTTTCGTGAGTAGTTGGCAAAATGAGTGACGAAGTCTTCTGTGATGGGATCAGATTGTGTTAAACATCTTATATTTTTCACATAGTAACTTTTGTCCTCTGGGCAAAAATTAGTTACCTTCTCTAATCTATTGTATCCTCATCTGTAAAATGAAGATAATAATAATATCTATAATATAGGCCTGTTGTAAGGACTGAATGAGATAATGTACATTACACATACTGAAGTCCTCAGTAAATGTTAATTGATTAGAGTTAATTGTCATTATCATCATCATCATCACTATCATCATCATTTTAGTGGTGGTTGTCCATACTGTCAGTATAATATTCTTAAGGTTTCTTTGCCTGTATAATTCTCACCTACCTGTAAAGATCAAAATGAGGTTCTGCCTTTTGATTATGTTTTTCTAACCATTTATTTATGGGAATCACTACCTTCTGTGCTTTTATATCCTTTAGCAAGTAGTATATAATAAAGATGTTAATATCTACTTTTTTGGTTAATTGATAAACATTTATTTGCTTCCTATTTATCTACACAGAGCAAGTGAATTTTATTTATAAGCTATTGTATTTTAACACAGGAGCTATTTGAGTTACAGGTTAAGTGATCCCCTACTCTGAAAATTCAAAATCTGAAATGTTCTAAAATCTGAAACTTTCTGAGAGCCAACGTGACTCTCAAAGGAAATGTTCATTGGAGCATTTTTGGTTTTTGATTTTCAGAGTGGAGATGCTCCACTGGTAAATATATAATACAAATATTCCAAAATTCAACAAAATCCAAAATTCAAGACACTTCTGCTCCCAAGTGTTTTGGATAAGGCATCCTCGATCTGTATTTTGTTTCTGTTTCTTCATTTCACCTGACCAAGATATTTCAGAGAATTTGTTTACTCAGGTAGTTTTTTTTTTTTTTTTCTGGAGACGGAGTCTCGCTCTGTCGCCAGACTGGAGTACTGTGGCGCGATCTCTGCTCACTGCAACCTCTGCCTCCCGGGTTCAAGTGATTCTCCTGCCTCAGCCTCCCTAGCAGCTCGGACTACAGGCGCATGCCACCATGCCCAGTTAATTTTTGTATTTTTTTTTTTTAAGTAGAGACAGGGTTTCACCATGTTGACCAGGATGGTCTCGATCTCTTGACCTCGTGATCCGCTCGCCACGGCGGATCACGCCACGGTGCGTGCACCACCATGCCCGGCCTAGGTGGAGACATTTAAACATAAAACTACCTGAGTGAGGCCCGGCCGCGGTGGCTAACACCTGTAATCCCAGCACTTTGGAAGGCCCAGGTGGGTGGATCACCTGAGGTCAGGAGTTCAACACCCGCCTGGCCAATATGGTGAAACCCCGTCTCTACTAAAAATACAAAAATTAGCCAGGCTGATGGAATGCACCCGTAATCCCAACTACTAGGGAGACTGAGGCAGGAGAATTGCCTGAACCCAGGAGGCAGAGATTGCAGTGAGCTGAGACTGCACCACTGCACTCCAGCCTGGGTGACAGAGCGAGACTCTGTCTCAAAAAAAAAATAATAATAATAATAAAATCTTCGCCTAAATTGACTGTATAAGTTAGATTTGTTTTAAAAAGAAAAATTTTACTCTGTTTTCTAAAGCCAAATATGATTTTTAAAACTGTTTGTTGTTTTTTTAAAAGTATTTGTACATTTACTTTTATTTCTTGTGCTTGACTAATCAAGAATTGACTGCATAAGTATAGTTATGAGAGTTCAGACCATTTATTTTAAATTTGCATCCTTTCACCTCTGAAACACTAAACTATGAAACCTAACACAAATACTGTAAGAACATCTGAGGTAGATAGTTAAAGTATAATTAAGTTTAAATGCCTTGGTGAAGGAGTATAAAAATTATTTAAATTCAATCGGCTAGTACATTTGCAGTTTTCTTTTATTAGGTGTGAAATCTAAGAATCTCCTGCCAACTCTTGAAGGCTCAATCCAGAATGTTGAATTGAAGTACTGCAGCACATCATTGGTCAAATGTGCCTCTGGGACCATGGGATCAATAAAAATTTGTGCCAAAGCCCCAGGTATGTGCAGCTGGACCGTGTAAAACTTTATTGCCTGTATAGGAGAATTGGCCTTGCATTTTACAAGGAGCGTTACTGAAACAAGAATTTACTCATTGTTTCTATGAATCAGACATTTTAAATTTTTACTTAGAAATTTTTCTAATTGTGCCAGGATGATACTTCTTGACTTTAACAAATTACTTTTTATTTAGGCAAAAATACTTAGTTTTATGAATGGTTATGAAGGAGAAAAAGGAATGTTTATTATACTTTTTGAGGGAATAGGAGGTGTGTGTGTGTATATATATATGTGTGTGTGTGTATATATATATATAAAAGATACTTAAAATTAAATTAAAAAGTTGTTATCATAATATAATTAAGTAGGAGACCCAATTGTTTTTAAATTTTGGTTGCAAATGACTTTACCTTCCTACCAATATTTTATTTCATAATATATTTTTAAAACTATTTATGATTTTTTTCAGTGCGAACTGATTTTAAGGTAAGTTTATAAAGGTCCAGATTTCATTTAATTTTTAGAAGACAGTGTGTTGTTTCCTTTTATAACCTTTTCTGGACATGTTCTGCATTCATTAGCAAATACGAAAACTTAAGAGTTAAAAATGCTTTACATTTTATGAAACTCAGTATAATTAAATGTATAGCTAATATCAAATAAAATAGAAATGTTATATTATGGTGTTAGTATATTTTAAAATCAAACATTCTCAAGTGACTCATGTTTTATTTTTGTTATTGTCCTACAAATATTTCTTTTCAGTTGATAATGGAAAAGAGAAGTTGATTCCCTTGCTTCAGGGTCCTTCCGACACTAAAGACCTTCATGGCACCAAGTGGCTCAATGAGAGTAGAAAGCCAGAGTCTCTATTAGCTCCAGATTTGATGGCCTTCACAATCCAAGTTCCACAATATATTGACTACTGCCACAATTCTGGTAAGTACAAACCTATCATTATTTCCTTATTTTGCATTTTTTTTTCCCAGAAAGGCTTTTAAAATTGGTATTATTATTATTTTTTTTTTAGCTATTTTTGTCAATTGGCTTTCTCTGCAGTTGTGCTTTTTCAAAATTCAGATTAAGAATTTTTGTATCACTTTTGTTAATTGAAATGTGTTTATAAATAATAATGATTTTATTTATATGAGAGAATTTAGCTGTATGTATAGTGGTTAACTTCAGATTCACCTATATAAGGAACAACTGAGTTTTAAAATATAGCATATCATTATAATGCAGACTTTCTAGGGATAGTAGCACTTTGTAACCCACAGTTTGTCATGTGTAAATTAGGTGTTTTTACCTTCTATAATTTTTTAGAAATGAAAAGATTTGATGGTAGAACTGAGAAAAAAATCTCAGAGGTCATTATCTCATATTTTATAGTTTTATTTTTTTCTAGTAGCACTTTGAATAGAATCTATTTCATTTTATTCTATACCGTAATAGCAGAACTATACCTCTCATATTGAGAGGAGGTATCAGAAGGATCAATGAAGACTGAGACAAGAAAAATGTATGATAGGTAGAGATCACTATCAGCCATGAATTCACTTAGCCAGTATGTGGTTAGCAAAGTCAGGGTATTCAGTCAATGAGGCTAGCAATATGGTAGTAATATAGACATTTGTTTTAAAAAATAGGTGGTCCACATTTTCTCTCTAGAAGTAACTGGCCAGTGAGTAGTTTCAAATAGTTGCTCAAGAGTAGAGCTTCATTAACATTATTCAACAACTACTGTAGCTTATAGAAAGTTTGTTCAGCACTAGTATGTTCAAGTAGAAACTATGAAAAGATTTGCAATTAACTGAGCAGAGACTATGTAGAGGTGAATATTGAATAAAGCAGTACACAAGTGAATATATAGAGGGACACAAAACATTTGAAAGATGAATATATTATGGTAATATTTGCAGTTGAGTGGCATCCACACTGAAAACTGGAAATTAGTATTTGAAAGGTGAGTCTAAGGATGCTCTCTGTCAGCATGCTTCTAAGGACAGCACACCTCAAAAATAAGATTTCAGCCTGGTAAGAATGGGTATGAAACCATAAAGAACGAATGACTAGAGGATGACTCCAGGATCCAAAGTAGGGCTGTCACTATAGAGAAAAGATTTTACCAATCTTTTAAGGAAGGGATTGGTAAACACTTTATTAAAGGGCCTGACAGCTAATATTTTAGGGTTTATGGCCCATACAGTCTCTATCTCAACTATTTGTGCTGTTGTAGCACAAAAATAGCTACAGACAAGACTTAGGTGAATGGATGTGACTGTGTTTCAATAAAGCTTTATTTGTAAAAGCAGTAAGTGGGCCAGATTTGGCCTATGTGTTTTGTCTAACATGGTTATAGGAAGAAGGAATTGGTGGATAAATATCATGGCTTTGTTAATGCCTATTTAATCATGTTCCTTAAATACATTGTTTAGTAAACTTCTTTATAGAATTGCCCATATAATAATTTTTGTTTTCAAATAATAAACCTAAGATGATACTAAAATAACCAGACCATTCAGTTACAATTTTGATACCTAAGAAGAGATTAATCTTACTAGAATCTTGCCACTGAAGAAAATTCTTGAGTTAGACAGGAACTCCTAATACTTGTTTTACCATATATACAATTAAAATAAATTAATAAGTTGAGTGTATTTAAATAATCTGTTCTTCTAACAATATTTATATTATCTTTTGTAATTTAAATGCGTTTCTAGGGTCACAAAATTTTATTTGTGTTTTTAACTTTTTATATGGCTCTAAAAGTAAACTAGTATAAGAAAAATTATCTGTGACACCTATAATATTTATAAAGTTTTAACTTTTTCTTGCTGTCAAGGAAATTCACCTAATCTGCAACATTAGTGTTATGTATAGTGGTATGTTTATGGATTTCTGTGTAAAATTTTAATGTGATCATGTATTTAGTGCTTTGAAAATTTTCCTTTGGGTATGTTTTAAACCTAAAATGTAATATATTTTAACTTAAAACTACACTCACATAGTTTATTTGGGGCATTTTTAAATTTAAATTTTTCATCTACCCTAGAACTGCCACCCACATTCATGGCTTAGGTATTTATGATATGGTTTAGAGAGCTAATAAGTACTATTTTTATGCCAGTTTTAAAATAATTTGGATTAATCTTATATTCTTATAACAAGATTTAAATTGGGTGTGTATGTGAGCATGACTGATGTTCTAGACAAATCATAAGTAAATCTTAAATGAAAAAATTAATAATTCATTAACAGTCCTTCAGGACTTTACTAAAATATTATACTTTCAGCAAGTACTTTCCTGACCGTTATATCTAAATTTCTCTCTCTGTCTCCTACACACATATTGACACTTCTTAATTATTTCTCTACACTTCTTTAGTTTTCCTTAGTGCTTATCAGAATCTACCATACTATATGTATTAATGATTTATAATGTTGATTGTGTCCCCTGCTATTAGAATTTTATTCTTCATTTAGGCAGGATGCTTTGTCTCTTTTTGGTCACTGCTGTATTCCCAGTGTCTAGACCAGTACCTGGCACATAAGCTAACAATAAATACTTATTGGATGAATAAGCTAGTAACTGATGATTACATTTACTTTTCTTTGGTTTTTGAAGTTGAAGCATCTAATGGAATAGAGACAGGAATCTTTCCAGAGGCTTAAGGGAAGAAAAAGATGTTAGGTGGTTAAATCTTTTAGGTGAACTGTTAAAGGGAAGCATGAGTGGTCTCTGCTTGTGTTTTCACAAACAGATAGATGTCTAGGTGAGGTTGTTAATGAACTTTTCCCATGGGCTTATAGAATTTGAGTGATGATCATACTAACTGGCTTTTTTAGGGTCATGACATGACGTGTGGAAGACAGCTGCCCCTTGTGCATGTACTCAAATTGAGGGGGATGGGTGGTTAAACTGGGGACCAGCAAATGTTGCAGATGCTATGTAAAAGTCAATTAGAAAGTGAGCTTTTAGAGGAGCTAATTACCTAGGCAGCCTTTGGACTGTGATTTGAGAATGTGAGGGAATGGACAGCTTTATTAATGGGGATTTGGAATTATGATGGAAAGAAATATTAATGGTATTAGTAAAACTCATAAAAACAGTACTTTACAATTAAAAAAATCACATTTGTGTAAATTATTTTATTTGCCTACAAATCAAAACTGTTTTAGGCAGAGAAAATATAATTTGTGTCTTGCAGAGGAGGAAATAGATGCCTAGAAGTTCAATGACTTGTCCAATTGCCTAGCAAGTCAGACTTTGAACTAGAACTTGGAACTTCTAACTGTACATTTTCCCACCATGTTGGGTGTTGGGCTGTTTATCATTTTCTCTTTTAACCTTAGAATCCACCTCACTGAACACTACATCCTTCAGTCTTAAAAGTTCCTAATGTAAAGGATCTCCTTTTTTACTTTATATTAAGCACTGTCAAAAGAGCCACACTGTCATGATCTTACAGCATTGCATTGTCTTTGAAGTTTCAGCAATTCCCTTTACACTTACCCCTCTTCCCTCCTTGATTGCATTCTGTACTTGACAAACTCTGATTAACAGCAAAGGAGCTGAATGCTTTTATTAGAATACAATGTGCCAGCACACATTCTGTATTTATGGTTACTACTCAGGGGAACCATTTAATGTCACATTTCTTAGTTTTGTATAGATACAACAGGTCAAATAGGGAAATAGATGCTTCTCTGGTTCCTTTGTAGGTAGAAGCACTTGGTGACTATAACTGATACATGTAAAACATTTAAAAATAGGTTCTGCCAGGTGCAGTGTCTCATCTCTGTAATCCCAGCACTTTGGGAAGGGTGAGGTGGAAGGATCACTTGAGCCTGGGAGGAAGAGGTTGCAATGAGCCAAGATCGCATACTGCACTATAGTCTGGTTGACAGAATGCAACCCTGTCTCAAAAATAAATAAAAATAAAAATGGGGCTCTAAATATTTTTCTTTCCCCCCCCTTTTCTTGTTTTTAGAGACAGAACCTTGCCCAGGCTGGAGTGCCGTGGGCATGATCTCAGCTTACTGAAACCTCCGCTTCCTGGGTTCAAATGATTCTCATGCCTTACAGAGGCGCACCACCATGTCTGGCTAATTTTTGTATTTTTAGTAGAGATGGGGTTTCACCATGTTGGCCAGGCTGCTCTTGAACTCCTGGCCTCATGTAATCCACCCGCCTTGGCCTCCCAAAGTGTTGAGATTACAGGCATGAGCCACTGTGCCCGGACTCCCTTGTCTTTTTAATATAGACTTTGGCTCTTCTTATGCTATATTTTGCGTATGATTCGTAGCAGGTTCTGCTTGCTAAAGAGTTCTGAGTCTTTGTTAATCATGGTATTAATGTGTAAATAAATTTTAGAGTGTCTGCTATTTAGGGATATAAAATGACCATGAATTACTATCAGCTTAGAATCAAAAGAATTTAGGCCATCATTTCAATTTCTTTTTTTTTTTCGAAACGGAGTCTCGCTCTGTCACCCAGGCTGGACTGCAGTAACGTGATCTTGGCTCACTGCAACCTCTGCCTCCCAGGTTCACGCCATTCTCCTGCCTCAGCCTCCCAAGTAGCTGGGACTACAGACGCCCGCTACCATGCCCAGCTAATTTTTTATATTTTTAGTAGAGATGGGGTTTCACTGTGTTAGCCAGGACGGTCTCAATCTCCTGACCTTGTGATCCACACACCTCGGCCTCCTGAAGTGCTGGGGTTACAGGCATGAGCCATTGCGCCTGGCCTGTCATTTCAATTTCTAAGACAGTGTTAGGAGTTCTGTTTACATATCTCCTGCTCTCTATTTGTTCTAGCTCTGCTGGCCTTTTTTGATGTTCTCTGTGGTGGTTATGTATTTACATATACTGTTTTTTCTGTCTAGGATTCTCACAACCATCCTTACCCTTTTTATACCTGTTTATTTCCAGCTTAG